GGTGCAAAGCATGCACACAGATATCTTCCAATTATTAACAAACTAATAAAACACTAGAATTTCACTCACCAAAACTGAAGAGCAAACCTCTTGATGGCACATCCCTCACATCGAGCCATCATATTTCTCAGTTTAGTTAAAAATACAAGAGGGTCCCAGTTCAGTTTACCAGGTTGAGTAGGTAACCCATACACCATAAGGCTAATACAAAGGTCCAGAGTGGAATCCACCTAAAGGCCACTTACTGTTCATCTTCCCCCTCATTTTTCTCCTAGATTTCCTGTCTGCTCTCCACTGTTCCATCACAATATCCAAAAATATATTTAATGAATGCTCAGGCTTTGTACCAGGCTCTAAACATGATTTTTACTTTATTTTTATTTTACTGATGTGAAGCCGGACACTTTAACACAGCAGTCTCTGGGGATTTTTGGAGTCTGCCTCAAGTGGCCATTAATGGAACTGCAGTTTTGCCAACCAAACCCAAGGACCTCTATCAGAATGTTTTTTCACATCTTTAAATGTGTGAGCTAATACTGTGTTCATCTGCTGTGTATTTATTGAAACAATCATGAATGTAAAGCTTCATATTCATGCGTAGGAATGTTGTGAAATGTTTGGGGCTCTATGGGGGACTAAGATGTCATCCTCGTTTATTTTCTCTCGCTATTTTTAGGGATTTGACTGTAAATTTTAAAGATTAAATATTGTATTTTTGTTTCTGGTTTCTCCAGGATGGGGATTAGTTTTTAGTCACTGACGCAAGGTTAATGTTGCTTTTTCAAAAAGACTCGTCGGTGAATGAAGGTCATTTGAAAAAAGCCAGCAGCTTTTATTTATTTAATCAGAGTTTTTCCATTTGTCTTTCCTTCACAGGACAAGTCGGAGTGAACCAACAGTGGGTCGCTTGCAACCAACCCACAATGTGACACTCCTGGCTGCAAAGTTAATGGGTGGGGTGGGGGAGGGATGAGGGGAAAGGGGGGGTTAGATGTTCACTATAATGAATTGATGTGTAAATGACTAAAAAAGAGAGTTATAGATAATAAATCCACAACTTGAAGAATCCACCAAGACATCGGTGACGAATAGAAACCTGAAACCAGTGACGATGTTGATAAGAGTTATTCATATTAATTAATCTGTGGAGAGAATGTATGTTTGTGTTGTATAGATATCACTATGAACAGATATATAATATAGACTGAAATGTTTCCTGTTTCCTATTGAGCTGCCCTGCCCAAAGTTTTATGCCCCGCCTCCTTACATCAGCAAACCAGATTCACACCAGCCAATCGTGAAGCTGTTGAGACTGGGTCCACACTGAGAAAAATCTAATGAAAATCAGATTTAAACCAAAATGAGAACCACATTAAACAAACTAACAGAGCGTCTGCCAACATCACCTCCCCGCTGCATGTAAATATCAAACAGGAAGTGATGTCAATTTGAGCACATAGTAAAACCCAGTCCGGCCTACAGCATCACAGTGACGCCCGGTGGAAACTGGATCCAAAATGGCCCCTCGTCATTACAGTTTGCACAGTTTGTGTGTTTAATGGGCTCAGCCGAGCTTCGATCTGCTGTGTGTTACATTACAGCTGCAGAAACGTCCATCTGGACGATCACCGCCACTAAAACTAAGCCAGATCTGATTCTACTGGCTTCTACTTTGGGTCTAAACTCGGCTAAGACCAATCTGATGATTTCAATGTACTGCTATGATGCAACGGAAACGCCCATCAGGAGCAGGCAGTACAGTTCACTGCCCCTCAAAGGGCTTCCAGATTTAAACCAATTAGAAAGTGAAGGTGGGCTTTTGGAGGCGGGGAGCCTAAAAAGAGACAAATGAATGGAAGACTAAGTATGGGATAATTATTTGGACTGACTTTGCAAAGCCTCTGACTTTGCTTTGTTCACAAAGATCAGAGGTTTTAAGCAACAGCTGTTTCCAGTACACGATAAATATCTTTACCTGGAAACGGTTTCTATGCGGACAGCAGTTGATGATTACATCCTGATACAAGTTGTTGTGCTATGAGTCTACATTTGTGGCATCAACAACTCAATGGCAGACCAAAATTTTAGATGACTGGTTTCTTGGAGTTTTTCCACCTTGATGGGGGTAAATTTCCCCACTTGGAAACTCACTTTTCCCATTCTAAATGGTGGCGATGTGAAAATTACGAGCACAAAATTCAGTTAAGATTCCTCCATGACTTACATGTTGATCTCAGTTATTGGCTTAAATCTTCAGATGGATGCTTCTGTCAGTGAGCTACTTTGAAATGTTGCAATTGTTTTTTACATTTATTTTAATTTGTCTTCTGTTAGCCAATCGAGTCTTTCTGGAAAGTTCTGGGTCTATAAAAAAGTGATGCTTCTTCCTCTTCTTCTTCTTCTTGGGTTGTTTTTCTTGAAAGTGAAGCTGTTTTTAGCGTCGGTATCTTCCTCCCGCATGGTGACGTGTTTACTGCTCGTGTCGTTCAGTATCTGAAGATCAGTGTGATTCTACTTCCTGTTTCCTGTGTGTGTGCGCGTGTGTGTTTGTGTGTGTGTGAGACCATTACCTGTCCATACCACTTCATTGGCTCTTTTTATCCTTTCTCTCATCTTTTATGTTTTTAATTCTCCTCCATTCACTTTTCTTTCTTTCCTTGTTTTGTTTTTTTTACCCTCCCTCTTTATTCTTCATCATCCTCTTCTCCACCTCTGTGATGTGTCCTCTTGTGTCACAATAGTCTACCCGGCATCAGTAACCATGGCGATGGTGTTGACAGTGATGATGTGTGTGACTTGTTGCTATGGAGACATCCCCAACCCAATTCCCCCTGCTGTGTTTATTCAATGGAAAGTTTCAATAAACGACAAACTCATCTCAGTCTGATTTTGTGTCTTTATACAGTCGAGTGAGCAAATGAAGGGGAAATGAAACTGGGAAGAAAAGGACACTAGATGGGAAATGCACATGCTAGACCAGGGGTAGGCAACTCCAGGCCTCGAGGGCCGGTGTCCTGCAGGTTTTAGATGTGTCCTTGATCCAACACAGCTGATTCAAATTGTTAAATGTTCTCCTCAACATGTCTTGAAGTTCTCCAGAGGCTTGGTAATGAACAATCATTTGATTCACATGTGTTGACGCAGGGTGAGATCTAAAACCTGCAGGACACCAGCACTCGAGGCCTGGAGTTGCCCACCCCTGTACTAGACGCTTAAATAGATACTTGGCAAATGGACAGCTACTTTTATACCAATATTTCTATATAGTGCTTTCTACTCTGATCATTCAAAGTGCGAGTACCTTGTTGGACCTCCTTTTGTCTTTGGTGCTACCTTAATTCTTTGTGGCATAAATTTATCGGGGTGCAGGAAACATTGCTCAGATTCTGATGTGTTCCAGTCACTTCCAGGCTGATAGCAGTATTATGTGAAAGTGATTTTTGAACAACACCCATGAAGTGGTAGGCCACATAAAATCACAGAACGGGGTCAGCAGGTACTGAGGCGCACAGAGGTCACCAACTAGGTGCAGAGTGTTAAGGTTCAAAATATTGGGGATGGAGACAAGAGAAAAAACCACAATAACAACACTGGTCCGGCCGGGTTAAGTCAAACGATGATTTTAATAGTCACACGCGTGGGAGATGGACACCGTATGCAGACAGCCTCAGATCTCAAAATGGTGGAGCATTGCTCAAACTCTTATAGCCTCTGGTGCCCCCACCTTATCATAAAAGCCTAAACATTCACATGCTTTTCTCTCACACGGCGCCTAAGCTACGACCTTGGCTCCCTGTTTATCTGCTCCTGCTGAGATGGGGCAGAAAACTCCAGCATGCTCTGTTCTCTTCTAATCAGACAAATAAGGCGATGACTTTCTGCAAACAGTATTTCTTATAACATCATAAAACAATATCATTCATCCACAATAAATCAGCAGTCTAATGTAATGCAAATCAGTTTAACGAATGCAATAGTTATCAGCTTCTTCTAATTCAGGAGAATAATGCAAACTAAAACTACATAATAATTCACAATCTTTCGTTAGGGGTATAACATGGCATAAAATAATATTATAATCTAACAAGAGTCAGTCACTACAGACGTCCAAACTCCTATTTGCCCTCAGATTAGCTCAAGAAACGTCCGTATGGAATGGGTTCCTATGGCTGAGCAGCTGCACCTAAGCCTTACATCAGCGGGTGAGATGCAGTGAGTAAAGCACACTGGACTCTAGTGCAGTGGAGACATGTTCTCTGGAGTGACAAATCACTCTTCTCTATCTAGCGATGGACTAGTCTGGTGGTCCTGTTCCAACATGCCTCGCACCAGTGAACAGAGCAAGGTCCAGAGAGACAAGGGTGAGAGAGTTTGGTGTGGAAGAATATGACTGGCCTGCGCCGAGTCCTGACCTGGACCCACCAGAATAGTTGAAGCGGAGACTGTGAACCAGGCCTGCTCGTCCTGCATCAGTGTCTGACCTCACTAATGTTTTTCTGGAATGATGGTCAAAAATTCCCATAAACACTCCAAAACCTTGTGAAAAACCTTCCCAGAAGAGTTGAAACTGTTATAGCTGCAAAGGGTGAGCAAACATCATTTTAAAGTCTATGGATTAATAGTGGGATGCCACTCAAGTTCATCATGTGAATAAAGTTCTGACTGAATATTTTATTATTTGTTGATGAACAGGTCGAGCCTAAAGCACTGTTATATTGAATTTTTGATTTTTCGATCTAAATGTTTTTTGGATACTACAGTAGTTAATCCCTCTGATTAAGTTGCATTTTAAAGTAACACTGTAATGTGAGGTTGGTGAGACAAGGCAGAATATGTTTGAAAACGGAACCGTCCATTAATGTTAACTGCACGGCACATTATGATTTTAAAGTGTGATCCTAGAAACGCCCCTGCTGAGCAGTATCACTGCATCACAGAAAAAATCAGAATAAAAGGAAAACTCTGATCAACGCTTGCAAAAACACAGAACTGTTTAGGGGGTTGGGGGGGGGCACTGTATCCAGCATCAATTCCCGAAGACGGCCACACCCACATTACATCCTGCATACTGGAGAACTACACCGACTAATGATACAGCATGGTTGCACCGAAAACCAACACCCAAGGAGTCGCTCCGAAGCCAAACCAATGGAAAACCCCGTTACCCGACACCAGGGATCTGGAGAAAGCAGTGAATACGGTCAGTGTGCTCATTTATGGAAACAAAAAACTGGATTACTGGTAAAAAAATAAAAAATAAAAAAAAAAAAACTACACGACGGAAGAAAGGAGCTGCGTTCAAGACGGAAATGCCCACTTGGGCATGACAGGAAGAAAATAAAACGATTAAAGATATAACGACCTTTTTCTGTTTGTTTGTTTTTTAACCTGATTTTCTTTCAAAGGCACTGATTCGAGACTTCGTGTAAACGAACAGACAAAACACGATTATATTTCTTTCTTCTAACAATCAAAAGCTTTTATCCAAATTGATCATGATAAATTATCAAGTAAAGAAGCTTAAGGTGTGATTTAATGATGCATTCAGGATTTTGCTGAAGCTTTCAAGGTAAACAAATATAAGCCGGATCATTGACCGCGGTGATGCGCAATTAAGCTCCCATCTTTCATGCTGTGCATATATATATATATTGTAACGTTCGCAAGCTCTCGAGCACCAGAAGGTTTGTTCTCACCACGGTTTATTGAGGAGGTACAGAAAAACGGGCCGTTAATCCCGAGGATTGTCCTCCGGTACAACTCACTCTCCAGCTCCCTAACAACAACAACAACAAGAGCCCCCTCCCATTCCTGCACACACTCAATGACTTCCTGCAGCACAACCAAATCACGTATCTTAAAAAAAAAAAAACTGACATTGAAACAAATAAAAACAAAATTAAAACTAAACCTTTTCAGACAATAAAACTAAGCTGATGTTTAAAGAAATCCAGCCTAAGAGAGGTGATTTCAGTGACTTTGAGCGTTGCATGGTTGTTGGTGTGAGCCACGTTGGTATTTCAGAAATTGCTGATCTGCTGGGACTTTGACACACGGATATTTCTAAGGTTTACAGACAACAATCTTAAAAAAGGGAGAAAACATCCAGTGAGAGGCGGTTCACTGTGGTAAAAAGCCTTGTTGGTGGCAGAGGTCAGAGGAGAATGACCAGGATGCTTTAAGCTGATAGAAAGGCGACAGGAACTCTCATGACTGCTCATTACGTCCAACCAACCAGTCCAAGCAGCTCAGTCACTGTGACTATTAATGGAGGCCATCCTCTGCGTCACACTGGATGTTCATATTCCTAAGGTGGTCGTGTGTGTGGGCACCTTACAAGAAGTCCACTATGTGTTTAAGTCACGGTTTTCTCTCGGGGACCAAAGCCTAACATTTTTATGCAGTACAGATGAACTGAATGAATTTCCTTATGAACTGAATTTTAGCTGCAGGTGTTTCTTCGTCATGTGACACTACGCTGGTTAAAATAGACGCTTTTCTGAACAGTTTCGATGGATGCTGGGGAGCACATTACCGGTACTTTCTGACCTCGCTCCCGGTCATTTGTGCAGAATGACCATGAACTGTTGACGTCAACTATGCAACAATTTGTTTTTGTGCTTTATAGAGAAGTTAGGAGAGAAGAGCATGTGGAGTATATGAGGTACTCCTACTGTGATGTGTGTGTGTTTGTGATATATGTAGAAGCTGGTGGCCCCCGCCATCCAACCCATCGGCCCCCACCTCCTCTTTGAGTTACACCTTTGCTTCATTGTCGCTGTGTTTGTTTTTATGACAAATATACACTGAATAATATAAAGACTGGAATTAATACTCAGTTATATTCAACCCAAAAGTTTAGGTCTGGTGGCCCTGCACCTCATTTACACCATATTTAATCTATATTTACAATATATACTTTGCGTATGTGCACAAACCCTTTGATTTGTGCTAAGGGTTCTTTCTGCAGCATTGAAGGTCCCAAAGAGTATAGAAGTCTACAACAACCATAAGAAGAAGGACTCTCCCTCCTATGGTGTCTCTTATGAATGCCCGGCCAATTTTAGTGATCAGGGTAGAAGGACATTTATCAGGGAGGGATGGTCCCTCAAACAGAGCTCCTGCAGTGCTACAGAGAGGAGAACCTTCCAGAAGGACAACAATTTCTGCAGCACTCCACCAATCAGCCCTGTATGGTCGAGTGGCCAGCTGGAAACCACTCCTCAATAAAAGGCGCATGACAGCCCACCTGGAGTTTGTCAAAATGCACCTGAAGGACTCTCAGACCATGAGAAACAAAACTCTTTGGTCTGATGAGATAAAGATTGAACTGTCTGGAGGAAACCAGGCACCGCTCATCACCTGGCCACTACCATCCCTTTTATTCTTTTAATTGGATCTAAAGGTGAGTCTACAGGTGCCCAGCTGGACCAAGTTTATCATTTTGACCCTACATCTGGAATGTAAACGGATGCTGGGTTTGAATGAACTAGCTGAAAGCTTTTATAAAAATGTGTTTTGTTTTTGTCATTTTTGTTATTGACTCTGATGATCTGACGTCCCTGAATAAACGTGCACGTGAACAGTGGGTCATTAGTCTTTCTGTTTTTCACCATGCTGCTAAAATGAAAATATTTTACCTGCTGCTTTTTTTTTTATCTGCCTGTCTGCAGCTGGTGACCCGAGGTCGGTTTGGGGTGCTGAAGGTTCCTCTGGGCTTCATTAAGGTCCTACAATGGGTGAGTCCATCAGACCAACAGCTGCACCACAAAAACTGCAACCACAGCACAGATGTGTAACTGAGTTCACGTTGATGTTTAAAGCTCGGAAACATCATAGGCAGAATTTAATAATTCACCATACGGGAAAGCACGAGTATCATCATATGAAGAGTTTATGCACATCTGCATAACACAGGACTTTGGACACACACACATGAAAGACACTTTTATGGTCTATATCAATATATTCTTAGTTTGTTGTAGAATTCTGAATGCCGCTTTTATGATGCAGGTTTTAATGAGCGAGCTTACTTGTTACACAGAAACTGTAGATTCCAGCACACAGCAGGGGGCGCTGTAGGGAGAGGGTGGTGGCTTTAAACGTTTTCTTACTCTTCCTCTATGGAAAAGACACCGGTTCACTGCAGATTCAGATAACTTTGTATAAATTTAAGGGGGAAAACTTGACAGTATTTAATATAATTTAACTTAGTAACTTAATGGTGCGCTGATGTCTTTTTGCAGACTCTGTAGATCTTCCTGCTACCAGTGTTTGTTAATTGGACTCTTTTTTTCTTCTAAACTCTTTATAAACTGCAAATGAGGAGGATTCAATTCAATTTTATTTATATAAATCACAACAACAGTCGCCTGAAGGCGCTTTATATTGTACAATAATACATACAGAGAAAACCCCAGCAATCATATGACCCCCTATAGGCAAGCACTTTGGTGACAGTGGGAAGGAAAAACTCCCTTTTAACAGGAAGAAACCTCTGAGGCGGGGCCATCTGCCACAACTGGCTGGTGTGAGAGAAGGAAGACAGGATAAAAAGAGAAACCCAACCTACAGTACAGCCTTTATAAGCTGCATCATATTAAAGAAGTGCAGTGCTGTGCAAAAGTCTTGAGCCACCCCACACTTCTTGTAGTTCTCCCGGCCTCTCCCGTTTTTCTTTGAACATCGCATTGTTTCCCCTTACCTGACCATTTTCAGAGGAATGGGGTTTTTTTTGTTTTAAACTAATTAACACATAAATATGAATCATTCAAGCATACAAATGCACTCAACACAAGGGATGAATCAGTGTTGTATCTATGTGTAGCACAAAACTTTATTTTAAACTGCATCTTTAGGCAGTTTGATGCTTGCAGCTTGTCGAAAAAACACGTTTGTTCCAGTTTCTTTTGTTGAATCTACAAGAAAATTCCAAAGTAAAGTTTGACTAACTAAAATTTGGATTTTTGCACCAACTGCTAAAAGGCCAATTGTCACAATAATGTCAGAGATTCTTCAGTATTCCGATTTTAATTTGTCGCATTGCCAGAGGTTTTCTTTTCCACTGTAGGAGCTGAATTAATTTGTCAAAAGTACAAAAGCCCTGGGTGACACTCTGACGCAACTTGTTGTTATGAACTGAAGACACACAATAGACAAAATGGGAAAAAACAACAGGCTAAAATAAAGAAGATTTAATGGGATTGTTCCTTCAGTGAGCACGCCTACAATCTGTGCATCAGTTATTATAGTTTTGATGCATTTTATTTATACGTTTAGTGTCACTGTTAGTTTTAGTCTTTTTAATTATTTTTAATTTTTAATTATTATTGGAAATTAAGTATTCCAATAGAAACACAGCACGTTTTGTGGTGGGATTAAGATTATGTGTCTTTCTGCTCCTTTTTGAACATGTTATCATGATTGTTATGTTTGTTATATGATTTTAACATGTTTAAAATAAAGCCTTTTTAGTACAAAAGTAAAAATGAAATGCAGAGGCCTACTGCAGTTCAGGCTCACCTGAGCCCGCTCTGACTGTGAGCTGTTTCCACAGCTTGTGATGTGTTGTTGCTCTTTCTTCCAGCTCTTCGCCATCTTCGCCTTCTCCACCTGTGGCAGTTATTCCGGGATGTTCAAGATTGCGGTGGAGTGCAAGAGCTGGGTGCAGAGCGACCTCAGTATAGAGGTGGAGTTTGAGTATCCCTTCAGGTCAGAACAAAAAACTCTGTGAACTCTGAAACTGACTTTGACCTATTTAAAATTCTTTCAAATAGTATTTAGAGGATGCAGCACTATCCTGGTTTATTTAAATGATATCGGTCAGCCCTCCTGGGTGTTTTTTGTCTCTTTAGTGGTTCATTCTGAACATCAAAGCTCTGAAGTTATTATCTGCGTGTTAGTTATTGTTTATCACTTTGGTGAAAGATCACCTTCACTAACAGGGAAATTTTAAACTCCTCTGTCAGACTCCACCAGGAGTATTTCGATGCCCCCACCTGTAAGTCTGAGTATAAAGAACGGGTTTTCCTGACTGGCGACTACTCCTCCTCGGCCGAATTCTTTGTCACCATCGGCGTCTTCGCCTTCCTGTACTCTACGGCGGCTCTCAGCATTTACGTCTTCTTCTTTGAAAAGTACAAGGAGAACAACAAGGGCCCACTGATCGTAAGTACAGCCACCCGACTTCCCAGTTGACCTCTGAATAACCTCCCTCACTCTGTCTTTGTGCCGTTTCAGGACCTGGGAGTCACCGGAGTGTTTGCCTTCATGTGGCTGGTGAGTTCGGCAGCCTGGGCCAAAGGTTTGTCCAACGTGAAGACTGCGACCAACCCAGATGAAGTCATCACTATGATCAATGCCTGTGAAGATGATGAGAACAGATGCCGTGAAGTCCACGACCCGGTTATGTCTGGATTGAACACCTCTGTGGTAAGACTTTCACTGGGCCTGGGCACAGCTCTGATCGTCATCAGGACGGGGAAACTCAGAACTTACTGGTGCCAACACTGGAGAGTCAGTACTGACCAATAAAGCACAGAATATTACTGAGAAACATCCAAAACAAAGAAGCCACAATTTTCAAATGTGATTCATTAACTAAACTGCAATTATTGAACTGAAAATATCAAAATGGTTAATAAATGAGGATCAAGCTTTCCTTGCACACGCTGCCAAAACCGATGTAAACTGATCGGCAGAGATCTTCTGACACACCCTCCTTACATTCTGCTGACGCCACCGACAATCACAAATGAAGGACAAGCTTATTGCTGACATTTATGTACGATTTTACTTCACTATTATAAAGAGACAGAAAAAGTGAGATGGCTTAGTGTCAGGTAGACAGACCTGTAAATTACTCCATGTCCAGGGTGCATAGCAAGAAAATATGCTGACATGGCAAAACCCTTGCTAGATCAGAGTAGCTGGTAATGTTGACTGTGGCATCATTAGACTAATCTCTGAAAATATGTTACATTTACTTATTTCAGCTAATGTTTGTACTAAAGAAAGGAGCTTTGAGGCTCAAATATCTGTGCATCCAAAAACATCCGAGTGTGACACACAATTTGTCTTTTAATGCGACCACACACTGAAGAACTGGTGGCCCTACCTGTCACTCAGTGTGGCTGAGTGACAGGTAGGTCATTCATACTTTGAAGCCATAATATAATTTAAAACATTGATACTTCTTTTTAACTCCTCCCCAGTAACATTTCTAAAAGGTGAAACTGGCTATGGAAACTAAACCCTTTTGTAAACATGATATTTTCTACTGCAAAGGTGTTTTAACATGGAAGTCTGTTGGGATTGACTAGTTTCTGGAGTGGGCTTCGAGTGGCTATTAGAGAAACTGCAACTCTAGCAACAAAAATCTGCCTGAATTTGAATTTGAGAACTTTGGAACGTTCTTCGTTAAGATGTTTCGTAATGTCCCATAATTTCATTGTGCTTGTACAATGACAATAAAAGGTTTTTCTATTCTATTCTTCTATTCTGTGTTGATAAAGTTTTGAATCTACATCTAAACGGAGACTCCAGGGTTGACCTTCACTGTCTCCCATCTCAGGCATTTGGTTTCATTAACCTGGTGCTGTGGGCGGGAAACCTCTGGTTCATCTATAGGGAGACGGGCATCATCGCTGACTCCGTGTTGGCTCCGCCTCCTCAGGAGAAACCTGCTGCACCTGATGCCCACGTCAAGCAGGGGGCCAACGAACAAGAAACATACACCAACAAACAGGCAGGCCACTCACCTGACTGCAGCCAGGAGGGATATCCCCAGGTGAGAAGACAATGCTCAGGAAACAAAATGCTGCAGCAGGTAAACGCACACCTGAAGGTCTGTGACTAGATGATGTGATGCTAGTTAATCAAAGATTGATTAGCTAGCTACCTTTGACTGCATTGTTGCCACAAGGGGTCGCTCTGCATGTTTTATTTTGGCTCCTGATGACTTGCCCGAAATCCAAACATTTCATAGTTACAGCCATCAGTTAAGTAAATAAACCGAACTAATGAAAATAATGATTAGTTACAGGCTGAATTTGTCCTGGTTTTTGTTTTGTTTTCTTGCCTCCTCCAGGACGTGCAGTACAGTCAGGGCTCCAACCAGCAGGGGGCGCCGACTTCCTTCTCCAATCACATGTGAGCTGTGAGGAAGAGGGTGAGTCAGTGAAGTATGTTTAGTATATTTTACATGTGGCACTATATAGATTATAGCACTTTGAATTCATTTCTTCTTGATTAATCAGTAACTTGATTCTTGTTAAAAAACAAAAACAAAAAAACACGAACTAGAGCATCCACACACCAGGGGGCGCTGTAGCACTAAAAGAATAAAACTTGATTTTAAGAGTTTAGTGTTATCCTGTCTGAGGTTTAGAACCAGAAGTTTTCATGTTTGAACTAAAAGGTGGAGTGCAAAGGTATCAACTAGCTAGCATAATAGGTTAAGCAAGCTGCATCCTGAGACCGTTAAATATGCCTAGTATCGTGTTCGTGTGGTGTGTATTCTTGTACAAATATATGTTCATTCAAATCATGCTGATGCAAAATATTTAATCTTTTTTTTTTTTGCTTAATGATGCTTTTTTTGAATTCCCTGACGCAAAACATTCAAACTTTTTAGGTCATGATAATTTGAGAAGTTGCTCTTATATGAGAAAATGTCTCCAGTTTGTTTCTCTTTCACAGGAAGCGTCGTAACAAGCCAACAGTGAGCCACCTGCAATCTACCCACAATGCAACACTCCATGGAGATCGATGAGGAAAAAGAGGTTTAGATGTTTACCATAACAAACTGATGTATAAATAATTAATAAAAGCTAACCACCAAGACATCCATAACAAATAGTAACCTGTAACCAGTGACAGTGCTGATAGGACTCACACACATTAATCAGTTGTATTGAATAGATCACTTTGAACAAATATATAACACATACTGAACTACTTCTTATTTAGTGCTAATCTGCCCTATCCACTGTTACATGACCTGCTATATGGTGTATATCTATATGATAATGGTGTTCTGCCTGCTTATTATCTGAATGTATCTGCAGTCTATATGGTTACTGAATCGTATATGAACATGAACTCACTGACAATCATATTAGACTTTTGCAAGAGCATTTATGCTTTGTAACCAACACTTTGCATTTGTTTTGTGCACAGTTTAAAACGTGTTTTTAAACGGTAGAAGGATGGATCCAGAATCTTGAATGAGTTTTAATGGTGTAATAAAAGAAAGTTTGACACATTTAAAAACAAGCTTTTGCGCTCTCTTTGTTTCGTCGGCTGTTTGTGGAAGTTCAATAAACTGATCTGTTATGAACTCTGCTCTTCTCTGGTTGTCATTTTTGAGTTTTAAACTTCTTTTCGACAAAAGTTTAAAGAATGAATCTGAGTTGAAGGTGGTCTCTACCAGGAGGAAGTGAGAGTGGCCCAGAGGTCGATGATCCAGAGGGGATCAGAGCATCCGCCTCAGAGTGCTGGGTGGTGCGTGTTTAGATGAGATTTTGTTTAAAGCGGCGACAGGGATTTGGGATATTGTATGTGTTTTGTTCATATGTAGAATGATGTGGCTGTCAGTAGAAAATGTCCAAACAAAATGTCAACTATTGTGATTAAATAAGAGAAATCGTTTTGAGAAGAGAATGTAGTTTGAAACCTGGCCAAACGCCATAGTGCCGCACCCACTAGAGCAGGGGTGTCAAACTCCAGGCCTCGAGGGCCGGTGTCCCGCAGGTTTTAGATAACACCCTGGGTCAACACACCTGAATCAAATGATTAGTTCATTACCAGGCTTCTGGAGAACTTCAAGACATGTTGAGGTGGTTATTTACCTTTAAATCAGCTGTGTTGTATCAAGGGCACATCTAAAACCTGCAGGACACCGGCCCTCGAGGCCTGGAGTTCGACACCTGTGCACTAGAGCGTCTGGCAAAAAATCTTTGCCAAATCAAACGAGTCGTCAAAAATCAGCCTGTCAGGCCCGGGCTGGCTACAAATGCCTTTGGCGCTGTTGGCCTACAGGGTGTCAATGAAAACTGTGCTGCTGTTAGCCAAAGACAAAGGAAAGAGGAGAGGGGGGTGGCATGTTAGGAGGCAGTGAGAGAGAAAGAAAGGTGAGAGCAGGGATTTTAAATGTTGATGCTTGAAGTCAAATGGCTAATGTTGAATGCTGAAAGAGAGGAATTCTGGAGTAACTGGATGAAGTGGTAGAGAAAGGGTTAAAGGAACAGAGGTAATGAGGTCATCATTGTCAAGAAGAAAAGGAGAGTGAAGGCAAAGACAAGGCTTAAATGATGAAAGCTGAAGACGGAAGAATTTGGCGACAGTTCAGGGAAAAGACTGAGTGTTAGTGACGAGTTACTAGATAACTGAGAAAGTACAGCTGATGTGGTGAGAGAAACTGCCAAGAAGGTGTTCGGTGTATGCAAGAGGGCAGGAAGACTTGGTGGTGGAATGAGGAAGTACGGAATGTGATGGAGGTGTAGAGGTCGAGCTGCAAAAGGATGTGAGCCAGGTTAGAGTGGTTAAGGATAGAGATGGAAGTGAATAGAGTGAGCTGAGAGGTTGTAAGGAATACTATGATGTGCTCAAGATTGAAGAAAATGAGAGAGGAGAAGTAATAGCAGAAAGTCAATGAATCTGGAATTTCAGAGGATTATTTGAGGAGGACGTGAGGGCAGCTGTAAAAAGGATGAAGATTGTGCTATAAAAAAAGGAAGTGTTTCTGTTAAAAGCTTCCTCCGTGGCTTTCTGCCCTTTGACAGGATCTCAGTTATTGGCTATAAATCTTCAGATGGATGTTTTAGTCAGTGAGCTGTTTTGGAGTGTTGCTGCTTTTCTTTTACGTTTGTTTTTATTTGTCTTCCGCCAGCCAATCAAATGTTTCTGTGAAAAAAAGTGATCCTTCCTTTTCTTTTTCTTCTTCTTGGGTCAGTCTTTTCGTCTCCATTGGTGCATCTTTTGGTTCTTCTGTGTTTAGTCTGTTGTGTCCTTCTCTTCATCCTTAGCAACTTCCATATATCCTTCTCTCCTTGTTATGGAAATACATACTTCTTTGCTTTGGTTCTTATATTACCTGTTCCTTATCTCCTCGTTTATTTAATTCCTTATCTCTGTAGCTACTTCTTCCACACTATTTCTTATTTCTTTCCTTCGTCATGCCGCCCCTTACGTCCTAATCTTAATCCTTGCCCCTTTTTGTTTTATACACTTTATATCCTTTTCTCCTCGTGTCCTTTTCCCATTTTCCTCCCTCACCCCCTCTTTCCTATTTCTTGCATTCCCTTATGTACTGATTTTCTTACTTGTCCCATTTCTTATTACCTTCCTTATCTTATTTATTTCCACTTTTTACATTTGTTTTCTCCTCCGTTGTCCCTTTGTCTCATTTCTGAAATTTTATTCCCGTATTTTATTTTCTTGTGTCCACATCGACCTCCTTACTTCAACTCCTTCCTTATGCCCTTACAGCCAAACTTATCCCCTTTTAAGAACTTATCGCTTTCTGTGTCTTCTTATCTCCTTCCTTATGTCCTTCAATTATTTTTTTCTCCCACCTTATTCACTCCCATAATTCTTAGTTCTTCCATTTTTCATCACATCCTATTTTGTCCTCTGTCTTCTGTTATTATCTTATTCCATCTCAAAATCCCTCCCTGTCGCCTCCTTCTCTTTCCTTTCTCCTCTCGCCTTCTGTCCTGAGTCATCGCTCCTCCCTCTCTCTGTTCCCTCCCCCCTTCCTCCCTTTTATCAGAGGAGTGTCTGCATCCTGCCTCAGTGTGTGTTTGTGTGTGTGCTCGGCCTGTAGCATGGCGTCTCTCGGCCTCCTGCTGCTCAGCACTGCTCTGATCCACACCACTCAGGTAAGGACGAGTCCCACCGACGGCACACACACATACAGAGAGAGAGAGAGCATGTTTACATATGTGTCGCATGTGTGTTTATCCAGCCATTCATCTCCACGGTGCTGCATCATCACGGTAACCTGACACTGATGCAAAACAATGTCACTGCTGTTTATCTTCTACCTGTCAGCACACACACACACACACACACACACACACACACACACACACACACACACACACACACACACACACACACACACACACACATCTGTATGTGTGCCTGTCTTCTGTTTTCTACTTCATTGATTGGGTATTGATTAACAGATGAGGGAAATCAGTGCAGAGAAACTGAGATGTTGTGAGGCTGCGGCATCTACGTGAAGATCAAACTGAGTTTTAGATGTTCGGAGAGAACCAGAACCAGGTCAGAACCAGGTCAGAACCAGGTCCAGGGTCTGCGTTTGGACCCTCAGATGCATCATTTCACCGTGGGTCCTCTCAAAGATAGCAGGACAATCATGAGTCTATTTTTGTGTGTGGATGTGTGTGTGAGTGTGTGTGTGTGTGTGTGTGTGTGTGTGTGGGTAGCTGCTGTGTCAGGAAGAACATTTCGTTTCAGCTGCTGTCACCATAGCGACAGGAGACGGTTACCCACAGCAACACGGCCGTAGATTACACAGGATACAGCAGGTCTCCTGACACATAATGACTGCTCTGCGTGTGTGTGTGTTTGGCCTGACGCTGTGTGTGTGTGTGTGTGTGTGTGTGTGTGTGTGTGTGTGTGTGTGTGTGTGCACTGCTGTTCATTATTTGTGAGGACAGGGTTTGCTTCCCTGAGCATACAGACCTAAATGACTGAGCGATAATAGAGATGAGGTTTATTGTCTCTGAGGGAAAATTTATATTTGGTCTCACGGCGCTGTGACAATAAAGTTATGTAATCTTTATTCAGTATGTGCACAACAACACAACTGCACCTGTACTGCACACAGTGCTCACTTTGTTACCGAGGTTTAGACACTGACATCATCATCCTGGACTTTAATTTTTAAACATGTTTTAAAGACTCACCGACAGATCCTGGCGTGGCGGTCTGTAGGTGATAAGCAGCTGTGTGCTGTCACCCGGGGGGAGTGTAAAACATGTACGGAACAGCTTACAACATGGGCTGCTCTTGTTCATGTCCTTGCTTTTGGTGCTCCTTCAGCTTAGAGAACAAATGTTGTTTACAAAGAACATCCTGAGCAAACCGTCAGTTCTCTGCTTTTACCTGCCCTTTTTCAATCTGACCTTTTCATGCTTATGATAAAGTGCTGCCATTCTCTTTACTGGTCTAGTCCAACAGCGTTCGACCTGTGCATAATGTCATGCACTGTTAACTTTTGTGGGACTTATGGTCCCATTATGGTGTCCGTTTACATACCTGTTTGGCTACACAGACATGTAGGTTGTGGGAATTCAACCAGCACGTTGATCGACATCAGTAACGTTATAGATACGTAGCTTCTATCTAACTACTACAGGGTAACGACTGAAAACAACACATTCTGCTGAGACCCCTCACTTCCAGATAAATATGAGGGTTGTGATAATAAAGCTTGATTTTGTGTAAAAACAGTTAGAGTGGCTTATTTTGCCCATCTCCAGCATGACACATCTGCATGATTCAGTCCAAATTAATTCTTTTTGAACCTTTTACTGGGTCTTTATGCTGCCCATTAGTTCATCCTGTCTGACACAAGATCTTTTCGCTCCTCTCCCATTAAAAGCTTCTTCCTTCTTACTGTAGCGCCACAGAAATATGAAAAATATGATGATTCTTTCAGAGCTCAGGTTTCTTGGTTGCTTCACTTCCATGAGGAACAAAGTGACTTTCACAGTCATGATGAGTACCACAGACAGACAGAGCACAACTCTGAAACAAATGCATCTCATTAGAAATATGAGTTTCTTTTTAAGGGTTGCGTGATCAGGTATCCAGGCAACCGAGAAACCTGAGCGCTGAAAAAACATCTAATACTATTTTAACCCAAACCATGATCTTTGTAATTCTAACCAGGTAAAGCTAACAAACCAGCAGGTCAGAATAAAAATAAACAGCAAATAAAAATGCGACCTCGGTCAGCTCACAGAGACGGTGTATTTTCATTGGATCATTGGATTGTGGGAACTATAGACTCTCCTGGCGCCCCTGCAGCCACCTAACATGGAATTATTTTGCTCTTTAACTTTGGAAGAACTTCACTTTTCTTTATAATCACGTTTCACCCATAGATGATTGTGGATTCAGGGTCTGAAAGATGGATGCAAGTGTCTTAAACATGCATTCTTTCCAATAGCCAGCAGGGGGAGACTCTTCAGGTCTCAAACCTCAGACTGGTTGTATTAAGTATATGTGAAATTGGACCTTTGCTTCTTTGGTTTGTGACCTCAGTAAACATTGTCCTTGTGCGTTTATGATCTCAGTTAAGGC